TAATATGCAGTGATATCTGAAGGAACACAGCAAAAGAGCATACTCGTGATGTCAAGTGATTCCCGCAACCACATTTGAGCGATACAGATTCTGAAACCTAGGGCCCGGATAGTGGAATAACGCGAGGTTCTTTTCTTTTCTCAATGATCCAGCATGCCTAATGAGGAAGACCAAGAGAAGCTCCTGAGATAGCGTTCTTGATTCCGAAACTTCGGCACTCATTGCTAAACAATGGGATGGAGATGAGAGCGAAGATTTATCCACTTAAGAAGGCATGCAAAAAGTGAAGAAAACAGATATGCATCCACGAGATAACAGATTTATCTTGAGAATAAGGAATGAACTAATCTCAGAAATTAATGTTTATCTTATGGCAACGAGTTTGAGTTTAAGCGATGAAACCTGAAAAAACTTGAAGCTTTTTTGGTTGCTCGTGGAAGCAAAAAAGAAAATAAATTACCAAGGAACTGATTTCTGGTAATTCGGAGCTTTGGTTTGATTTCCATATAGGAAGGAATGTATTGGCTACAACGCTTTCGCCTAAAGCGAAGCTTGTACCATTGAAGAGGTGCCATTCTGGTAAACTCGTACAGTCGTCGACATGTTCTGGGATTATTTATAATGGAAAAAAAGGAAAAGATGAAAATACTACATACCGTATGGACATTCAAGAGGTAAAGGTGTATTCGGAAGAAGTGCTGTAGGGCTAAGTTGACGGAGATCTGCAAGGGACGATAAAATGTGGACAAGGAAGATTGGTTAAATACAATACCATCTTGTTCTTCGGAACCTCTTCTCGATAAGGAATCAAAATCAACCAGCTTGGCGACAAGTTCAGCTTCCGAACCACCAAACGCCAGCAAGGGCAAATTGGCCGAGTCGTCCTTCACAGGAGACGAAGGGTCCTGAAACTCAATCGACTGAAACATGAACTGAGCTTATGTTGAACATTACCTTCACCGAAGTAAGTTCCGAAAATTCCGAGCTTGTGGTTGAACGACTCTTCATCTCTACACCGCTATCGCTGACCAACATCTGTAAAATTCACAACGTCCTTACAGAAAGCACGACCTGCCAGTAGTGATTTGAACAAGTAAAACCAATTCGGCAGCACACAAGGGAATGTATCTTTATAAGTTCCAGATCTACTCACGTCGGTTTGGATGCTGAGCGGCGTACCGACATATGGAGACGATACTTGAGAGCTTCCAAATGGTAAAGCAACACCATTTTTCATTACAGATGCGTATGAAACTGGCATGGAAAGCATATCCTAAAAACTCAGAACGTGAAGACTGGAGAGCTTTCCATACTAGATTCGACTCACTATACTATTGGATGACGCAGCAAAATCTTTAGAGGATGTCGATATACTATCATCCTGATCAGCGAAGTGCCCAGACATAACTGTAAAAAA